CAATGCTGGAGAGGATGTAGGGAAAGGGGGCACACATTCACTGTTGATGGGATAGAAAACTGATCCAGTCAGCCTGGAAATCAGCCAAACGGCCTAAAAATAAACCTCCCATGTGAAGCAGTGCTAGCACTCGCTGGCACATGCCCAGGGGGCTGAACATGACATTCCACAGATACTTGTTCCATCATGTTTGTTACTTCTTTATTTCCTTTTGAGTATGTCTCTGTGTGTGTGTGTGTGTGTGTGTTGTTTCCAGGCACAATTTGTCAGTTCAGCCCAGCTGTCCTGGAACTCACCACATAGACCAGGACGGCCTGGTTAAACTCTCCCATGAGGGATAGCTACTCCCAACTCTCAGAAGACACTGCTAGATTTAATATCCTTTCCTGTTCCCAGAATTCCAAGAGGCAACTGACACTGAAGGGCATGGAGTTCTTTAAAAGGTCGGGCAAATAAAATAAATCATACTACAGTTAAGTCCCTACGATTCATCTTTGATCCAACTCCTGTACCTAAGGTTCAAGGAATATTGAGGAAAGAGGGCAAGGTAGAAAGAGTGTTAGGGCCAGAGTAACAGGAAGTTTAGTTGAGATTCTGTCTCCTAGAAATGTCAGAGAAGCTAAGCTCGTGAAGTCTCACCAATATGGCAGTCTAAACAGGACAGTTCATCAGGATGACACCAGTAGACAAGCTAACATAGAAAGGGGAATGCCGCCGGGCGGTGGTGGCGCACGCCTTTAATCCCAGCACTTGGGAGGCAGAGGCAGGCGGATTTCTGAGTTCGAGGCCAGCCTGGTCTACAGAGTTAGTTCCAGGACAGCCAGGGCTACACAGAGAAACCCTGTCTGGAAAAAAACCAAGAAAAAAAAAAAAAAAGAAAGAAAGGGGAATGCCCATGAGGACCCAAGCCTAGATAAGGACTACAGGCAGCTAAGGAATGCTGGGAAGAGACATAGTCTTCTTCATTGTGATCAAAAACTTTAACCCTCTGAAACTGTGAGCCTCAAATAAAATGCTTTCTTTGATAAGTTTCCTTGTTCATGGTGTTTACCACAGCAATAGAAAACTGTCTAAGACACTCACTTAATACATTTAAATTCTGATATATTTTCACTTCCTTTACTCTGTTCCTCTAACAAATCGTGGGGACTGCAGTGGAATTTTGGGATTTTGGTTTTTTCAAAAACCATAAAAATTATATAAGAATATGCTTTCATTTTAATTCCAGGTGTGAGGATATGGTACTGCTTTGGACTGTCCTTCTCACCTGACTATGAATTGCCTCATGCTCTAGCAGGTGTGTGATTTTACCAGCTGCAGACAATTTCTGCAATTGTATGATGTTTGGAATTCCTGGAACTTTTCAGAGGGTACGTAAATGCTAGGGCCCTGAGAGAGGCCGTTGGTGGTGGTGGTTTGTTAGTTGTCATGGCCAAATAAGCAAAAGGAAAGAAATTAGATTTGGGAATCCTTCTATCTCTTTCCCCTCTGTCTCTCTCTCCCTCTCTCTGTCTCTCTGTCTCTGTCTCTCTCCCTCTCTCTGTCTCTCTGTCTCTCTCTGTCTCTCTGTCTCTCTGTCTCTCTCCCTCTCTCTGTCTCTCTGTCTCTCTCTGTCTCTCTGTCTCTGTCTCTCTGTCTCTCTCTCCCTCTCTCTGTCTCTCTGTCTCTCTCTCTCTCTCACTCTCTCTCTCACTCTCTCTCTCTCTCTCACTCTCTCTCTCTCTCTGTGTGTGTGTGTCTTTCTCTTCTATCCTTGTTTCTTTCTTATCTAGTGTTAGGGTTGATACCTGGGTGATAATAGTGATGAAAGGGGGGAAGTGTGGAAGACAGAAGAACCCACAGAGTAGCAAAGTCCAGATACTGTATACAGTATACAGTAGTGAAGGTTACTGCATGTCCTCCTCCTTCTCCTCCTCCTTTCTCTTCCTCTTCCTCCTTCTTTGAGTAAAAGAGTCTCAGGTTTCATAGAACTTACCATAGGAGCTGTGGTTTTGTACTCAGGTCTTCATGGTTATGGGGAAGCGTTTTTATCACTAAACTATTTTCCCAGTTCTCCTTTTTTGGGATAATGTCTTGTATACCCCAGGCTAGCCTCTCTCTGTAACTGAAGCTGGCCCCATTTTTTGTTTTGTTTTGCATTTTGTACTCAGATTTAGTCATTTATGTATGAGTGCTTTGCCGGCATGTGTGTGCACCAAGTGCATGCTTGGTACCAAGAGTGGTCTGAGAAGTACATCATCTGGAACTGAAGTTACAGACAGTCATGAACCATCTTATGGGTGGCGGGAATCGAATCTGGGTCCTCTGCAAGAGCAAACAGTGCTCCTAACTTCTAAGCCAACTCTCCAGCCCCTGGCCTCAAATTCTTGCCTGGACTTCCTAGATGCTGAGTTTAGAGATGCATGTTGCCATAGTGGGTTGTTGCCATTGATCATAACCTTGTACAGTTCTCTTTCTATATGAGTCAACAGCCTTCATCATTTTATTTAAAGACAGTACTTCATGGCTTCTGTTTGGTGTTTGAGTTGCCAGCTTCACTACCCTGGGCTTTGGAGCCTTTTGGAGTAATCAATAAAATAAAGGTTAGCTGCAATTCAGCGATGGTTGATCTGATAGCATAGCTGAGCTCATGGCTGAGAAGTCAGGAGAAGCTTGGAGAATGTGCTGTGGGAATTCACGGCACAGAGGGAGGTTCCGATCTCTGCAACGGCGGCTGTTGTGGGGATTGTACAGGAGTCTCAAGCACACCTCATAATAGCAATTATCATTCTTTAGTCTTTTTGTTATGCAAGATTGTGGGAGAATAAGATACTAAAATCAAGAAGAGGGTCTAGTACTGGTGAGAAAATGAGAATACAGAATCAGGCCTCTTACTCACAGAGATACACCTGCCTTTTCCTCCTGAACACTGGGATGAAAGGCATGTGCCACCACATCCAGCAGATATTTTTTTCATTGCTGGGAACCAAACCCAGAGCTACTCTCACGCCAAGAAGAGTCTAAGTACAACTCCATCTCTGAATGGCTGAATTATTTTGTTTTTGTTTGTTTGTTTGAGACAACTGTCATTCTATAGCCCAGACTGGCTTTGAACTCAAATCCTCCTGCCTCAGCATCCCTAGTGCTGAAACTATACTTAAGACTCTACCACATCCTGATTAAATGAATAATTTATTTTTATTCATTTTTTCAGTGTTTTGCTTACATGTGTGTATGTGTACTGTGTGTGCCTGGCACCTTCCGAGGTCAGCTGGGAGCACTGGAACTGGACATGTGGATGGCTGTGAGCCATCGTGTGGGTGCTGGGAATTGAACCCAGGTCTTCAACAAGAAAAGCACTTTTAACCGTTCAGTCCTCTCTCCTGTCCTTTAGATGAGTCACTCATACTAAAAACTATAAAGCCAGGCTGAGGTCCTGCACTCCTACACTGCGGAGTTCATGAGGTACAATCCTCAGCATGTGCACGTGCACGCAGACACACACACTATAATCAATACATCGAGATGTCTTTGACCATAAGTTCTAGTCTTCACTTTCAGAACGTGTACAATGCAAATGATACTCTGTGTGGTGCTCACTGTCAAAAAAAGACGGTTTGTGAAATAACATCCTCAGAGGCCAAAAATGTAAGTTTTAAAGAGATAAGCTTAGGCAGCCAAGATGGCTCAGAGGGTAAGCGTGCATGGTGGGCAGGTCTGATTATGTACAGAAACTACAGTAAAAACCCAACTCTGCAGAACTGTCCTAGAGTCCACACGCATGAGTGTATAATAATAGAATATAAAAATAAACAATAGTGTGCACGTGGAGGCCAGAAGACCTGTCATGATGCTCTCAGAAGCCTCACCTACTTCTCTGAGACAGCGTCTCTCATCTGCTCTAGAGCTCAACAGTTATGCCTGGCCACGGTTGGCAGTGAGCTCAGGGAGATCTGATCTCTGCCACCCAATTTCTTACTGTGGGTGCTGGGGATTGAATTGGGTTTCTCAGCTTTACAAAGTACTTCACTGACAGCTGTCCTCCCAAGCTCCTCCTCTTCTTCCTGTTTTTTCTTTTACTATTATTAGTTTTAATTATAGTTAAGTATGTGCACATGGTCCTTACAGAAGCTATAGCCAGGAGCAAGACATCTGACATGTTGCTGGGAATTGAACTCAGGACCTCTGGGTGAGCAGTCCATGTTCTTAGCCCACCAAGCCATCTCTCCAGGCCCTAGTTGTTGGTCTTTGTTTCTTTGGGGACACTAGCCCACATGGCATTGAATTTGTGATCCTCCTGTTAGACTCCCCAGGACTTGACACACAGCCAGACATCTTGTCAGGAACTCATCAGAGAAGTGAAGACAGCAGAGGTGAACTTAACATTCACCTTAGTCTCAGTCACCTGGAGCCTACAGGAGAAGGATCTTCTGAGTTGAGAAGTTCAGGACAACAGATACCAAGATGTCTCTTAAAATTGTGTGTTGAGGAGATGGGTCAGTGGTTGAGAGCACTTGCTGTTCTTCCAAAGAACCAGAGTTTGGTTGCCAACACCCACATCAGCCCCCACACAATTGCCTGTAGCTCCAGCCACCCTCTCCTGGCCTCTACAGGCATCTGTACACACACACACACACACACACACACACACACACACACACACACACA